CCCCTGGATGCCACCGGCACCCCCAAGAAGTAACAGTGGAAAACGTCTCCAGACAGTGCTAAATGTCCCTTGGAAGCAAAATTTCTCCTGTTGAGAGCCCTTCAGTTGGACAAAACATGTATGTGGTAGTGAATGGGTGTAATAGTCTTTGTCAGTAAAGTGTGTTACTTGACCAAGTTTCTCAGATTTTTGAGGTCTCTGGCTTTTTCCCTCTCAGTCATTTTTGATCAGCTGTTTAGAGACACCTTGTAAAATCCCTATGTCAGACTGTCTTATTTCTCCTAACTCTGTCAATTCTTGCTTCGTAAATTTTTAAGCTTTTGAAAAAGGACTTTTTGGAGGTACAGTTTTCATGCCATAAGATTTGTTGATCCAGTGATGTTTTAGAAGTTTACTGTACTGTGTGACTGTCGCCACGACCCATGGAGTGTAATGGAATTACACTGTCCATGGAATTACATGGAATTACACTGTCACTCCCATCGCACCCCGTCAGACACTTGTGTCTGGCAGTAACCCCCCTTCCCAGCCATCGCCCGCTCCGGACCCAGCTTCAGTCCCAGGTCTGCTTCTCCCGGCGTTCCCGGGAGTGGAAGCAGAGTGTGGGTGTCTGCGTCTGACTTCGTTCACTTCCATAATGCTCGAGGCCCGCCGTGTCGTACTGTGCACCTGTACTTCATTCCCTTTTATTGGTGAGTGCTGTTCTAGCTTCATGTATGCTTGATGCTCTGTTATGAGGGCTTCTGTATTTGATTGCTGTATTTTTCTGATCAGTTGACTCTTTTATCATTAGGAAATGTCTTTTATTTCTCATAACAACTTCTTAAAATCTGTTTTATCTGATAATAACGTGTCCCTCTACATACTAATTCTCTACATAGCATGCCTTTTTTCCAGTCACAGACTGGAAGTCTCTTTTTGTATTTAAAGTTTGGCTCTTGTGGACAGCATATATTTGGTCTTGTTTTTCAAAGCAATCCATTTTCTATTGGCTGGGGATTCTAGCTCAGTGATAGAGCACTTGCCTAGTGTCTGTGAAGTCCCGGGTTTGATGCCCAGGCCATTATGCAGACAACAGAAATTTGAAGAAAAGGCTTTTCTTTTATTATTAAGCAATTAATATTTGCTATAATTTATATATTTGGGTGTTGGGCTACCATTTTGTTTTCTGTTCTCTTTGGTTTTTCAGTCTCATATACCTTTTAGTTCTATAAAAATACATAATTGAATATATGCATTTTTATAATTCCATACTAATTTTTCTCTTTGCCTTTTCTTTGTGTGTGTGTGTATGTGTGTGGTAGTTGTACTAATATTCTTCAGTTTTCATGGTCTCCACTTAGTTAATAATGTTATTGTTCATATAAAACAGAAAATTCATAAACGTATAGTGATGTTTTCCGTGCCTCACTTTTCCTTGTCCGTGATGCCAACCCCCACAGGACAATACCGTCCTCCTTCAAAGGGGCCTAAGTACTACTAAAAACATAATCTCCGTTCTCGAAGCGCATTGTTCTTTCCTGAGTTTCTGAGTTTCCAAATGGTGTGACTTCTCCTTGGCAGAAGGCCCCTTTAACCTTGCTTCCAGTCAGAGCATGTTACTTATGAGGCTTGTTCTTGAAGGGTTTATTTATGGGATATAAGAGTTCTAGCTTGATTTTTTTTCTTTCAGCATAATAAAGATATTTCATTGTGTCCTGAGAAGTTTCTCATAGTTTGAGAAGTCGGCTGCTAATTGAACCATTTTCTTCTAAGCAGTTTGGGCTTTTTATTTTTGCTGTAGTTGCTTGAGGTTTGCTTTTTATTCTTGAATTTCAGTGGTTTGCCTCTGATGTTCTTTGGCTGACCTTGTTTATTTGTCTTGGTTGGTATTTGTTGTGTATCTTGAATATGTTAATGTTCACGTTTCTTCAAGCTTTCAGATAGATCTCCTGCCCTGTTCTTCCTCCCCACCCACCCACCGCAGGACTCTTGTTCTGTGGGAGATGCTACCCGCAAGGCCCCTGAGGGGTTAAGTTCTGTTTCAAGCTTCTTTTCAAGCTTTAGGTAATTTCCAGTGGGCCGTCTGCAGGCTCACTTGCTCTCTCCTCTGCCACCTTCAGTGTGTGACTGAGCTCATCCCATGCATTACGGGTTCCAGTTCTGGAATTGCCATTTGCTTTGTTTGTACTGTTTCTGTCTGTCTGCTGCAGTTTCTTCCATTTTGATCCATTATGAGTATATTTGCCTTTACTTTAGAAGGTATTTATTAGTTTTTTAAGAACCCTGGTCTGCCTATTCCAGCATCCGAGGCGTCTCAGATGGGAAGGGAAGGAGCGCGCTGGCCAGTGCTCTGCCGCCGCCTCGTGGAGCCTGTGCCCGGACTCCCCGCTGGCTGCAGCGAGTCCTGTGGCTGCACTCAGAAGCAAGAGCAGGGCAGCAGAGTCACCAGTTTGTTGTTTTTTTTTTTTGCCTTTTTGAGAGAGGGTGTCATTGTGCAGTTCAGGCTGGTCTTGAGCTCACTTTGTAGCTCAGGCTGGTCTCGAACTGGCAACGATCTTCCTGCCTCAGCCTCCCAAGTGCTGGCATTACAGGCACGCGCCACCACGCCCGCCCACAGTCACCTTTTGCAGAGAGGATCTGTAAGGCAGTGGTACAGTCAGTGCCCAACTTACGAATATTCCAGTTGTGACCTTTCACAGACTCAAGCGGACGTGGAGTTCTCAGAGGCCCCCGAGTTTCGGAAGTAGCCTGCGTGTCTGCCTGCCCCTGCCGTGCTGCTGTGCGCTGACCGTGCCGTGAGGTGGTGTGCAGGAGGGCTGTGCTCAGGGCAGCCCGGGGTGTCAGCAGGCACTTTGCACAGTACTTTCGTGTGTGTGTGTTTGGTTTTTTTATGCTTTACGTTATGTATTTGTGCCGAAGATGTGTAAGACTCACTTTGTCGGACTTACGACCAAATGTGACTTACGAATGTTCTCCCAGAACGAAGCTCGCTCATGAGTCTGGGGCTCGCTGTAATGATGTGCTAGAATGCCAGGAGTGATTTCTGTCATAGAAGGAATAAATGTCATACAAATTAATGCGGAATGCTGGGGAGTGGTAAGGGAGGGCCTGTGTGTACAAATATGTACATGCCCTTTAACATATAAAGCAGGAATTAACATATGCAAGTAACGGTACAGTCTGCTTTTTATTTCACATTATAGTCACCATGTGGTAAAGTGCCTCTGACGTTATGGCCGTCTTAAGCTGTTGAGAGCTTCTGCCTCTCCTTCGTTTGTTCTGTGGTCACTTTTTTTTTTTTTTTGGTACCAGGAATCAAACTCAGGACCTTGCGCTTGCCAGGCAGGTGCTTATGCCACTGAGCTATCTATATCCCTGGCCCTGTGGTCACTTTTAAAAGCACTTCACATATGTCACTTTACTTCATCCTCACAGCAGTCTTGTGAGATACCGTTAGCTGTCCCCCTTTATAAAAGAAGAAATGGAGGCAAAGACAGGCTGAGTCACTGGGTCCGGATCACCGAGCTTGTAATGGGCGGGGGAGAGAACTGGAGCCGGGCAGGCAGTCCCACAGACGTTCTTGTATAGACTTACGCAAGGTAAAGGGCAGCTCTCAGAGTCCACAGTGTTGAGTACTTGTTTAGGTAATTTCTGGAATTTGGGGTCAAGGTGTTGTTGTCACACTTTTTTTATTTTTCTGGGACAGAGTCTCTCTGTAGTGCAGGCTGGCCTTGAATTGTTTATGTAGCCCAGGCTGGCCTGGAACTCATGCCAGTCCTCCTGCTTCAGCCTCCCAAGTACTGGGATTACAGGTGTCTGCCACCACACCTGGCTGTCGCACTTTATTTTTTGGTACGAGGAACTGAACTCAGGACTTCGCGCTTGCCAGGCTGTGCCCCTGAGCTGTCTCCCTGGCTGTCACACTTTTAAAGGAGTGCAATTCTAATTTTGTTCTTGGTCCTGCTCTGGGTTGGCATCTGCATGTGAGTCCCTGGGGTACCCCCAGGCAGCTTCACTAAGTCTTTACTTTTGTAAATCAGTTTTTTTACTCCTGTTAGAAGTATCCCACCTGCTGTTCACAGTAAAGACAGATGTGTGTGGGGAGGGTTGTCCTGGGGCCAGCTTGTCCCTCCTGCTCCAGGAGCAAGACAGTAAACCCGGGGTGGTTGGTGTGGGAGTGGAGTAGAAGCACTTGCTCGGTGAGTGTGAGGCCTGCAGCTGGCATGCGACGGCCTTCGGCAGCCTGAGACGCAGCCAGGGTCCGTGAATTGCCAAGAGCCAACCAGGCAGCCCGGGCCAGGGCTCCAGGCCAGCTCCGGAGCTGATGGTGGCCACTGACAGCACAGGGCTGGCAGGTGATGGCCACTTCTGGCCGAAGAACGGTGGACGTGTGGCTTGTGCATTCCCGGCTCCCCAGCCTCCCACACAATTTAGCAAGCAGGCGTGGGAGGAAGGGCGTGATTTCATGGGGCTGACAGAAACTGAAGACGCCCGGGTGGAGGACGGTCGGGGAGAGGTCCTCTGTGTGCCTGTGCGTTCTCACTCCCATCGCCCTGCCGGGCTGCCCTGTCTGAATGTCTGCCTGAAACTTCCTGTGTTGAAACAGTGTGGGGAATAGCTAGAGAGGAAGTGCAGCCTGGATGAGTTTTAATTGTCGTAAGTTTTCCATCAAAATTACATCGGGGTGGGTTGAGTAGGGAATCCGGTCCATTCTTTAGGTTGGGGTGTTTTCGAGGTGACTGGTTGCTGTTGGCACAGGTCGCCACACTCACCCTTACTGCGGCTGTGCCGTTGGAGTACCTGCTTTGGTACTGGGTTCAAAGTTTTGGGGCTTTGGGTGGTGGAGGGTTAAGCCAGCGCCTGTGAAGCTCTGGGTTCAATCCTCAGCACCACAAAAAGGGGAAAAGAGAAAAAAAAATGGATTCAAAGTTTTTGCTCCTATGTCTACTCTGTATTTCATGCCTAATACATTTAATATTTTTGCTTATTATTATTACTTTTTTTTTTTTTTGCTTCAGGTTAGTAGCAAAGATGAAGATTTTCTTGACCTTTCTGTTGATGTGGAGCAGAACACTTCCATTACCCACTGTCTGAGGTAACCTCAAGAATTCTACTTGTGGTTTGAGCTTTTCATCAGGCTAGTAAATAAATGAGGGAAATAAAACCCTGTTTTCTTCAGGACATAATCTTCCTTGCTCTTTAGCCAGCGTAAGCCTATTATTTTCTGTTTCTTCTTTCACAAGAGAGAGTAAAAGTAAGTATCTGTGGTCTGCATAAGTCTCACTGAGCAGAGAGAAGGTCAGGTGGGAGTCGTTAGTCACTGGGTTGGAAAATAAAATTTTAATCCTTAATGCAGATGCATGCTTTGGGCTTTCCTCAAAGTCTTTCTCTCTTTCTCTACCCCATATGCACACACACACACAGATAGTTCATAAATGTTAAAGATGCCTACCATTCATTACTCCTCTGAAGGTAATCTCGTCTGTCACTGTAAAAATTACGCACTTGGAGAACTACTGAGGGAACTTCCCGTCCCTCCATCTTTTTAGCGTTCTGTGGAGCTCGTTAGTGGCAGGAAACTTCCCCTCATTAGCATGGAGAGCCGGGGAGCAGCCTGGCGTGAGAGAGCACGTGCCCGGGATTACTGGGGGTACCCATGGACCTGGCATTAAAAACGTGCTCAGAGTTGCCACACAGGGAAGGGTCCCCCTCCCCTTAGCAAGAGAAGATGGTGTTTATCGTTCTCTCAGCCTTGCTTCAGCACGGGGGAGAGGGGAGCGAAGGGCTCCCACCTTCCGGCAGGCAGGTGTCGCGGATGATGGCGCAGATGATGGAAAGCCCAGAGAGTGCTGACACTGAGGCGCCGGGGTGCGCTGCGGGTTGGGGCGAGTCTCCCCGAACACTGGTGGTGCAGCTTGCTGGCAGATGTTGATTTGTATCAGTAAAGCGTAGGTGACAGGGCTGCTCTTCCAAGACCTCAGGTTACCTGAGACCTTTAAGAACAGTCAGCGAGCTGGCCGGGCTCACTGCTGTTAAAGCACCATCTTTTAGGACGAGGACCCTGGGAGAGGCGCTCAGAAGAGCTCGGCTCAGCGGGCGGCGGATGCGAAGTGCGCGGGGGCGCCTGCTGCGCTCTGTCGGCCGGGTCTGCAGTCCTCACGTGGGCCAGAGCAGAGTGTTCTCAGAACGCTGCCTGCCGTTTCGATGGCTCAGCGCTTGTCTCCGATACCAGAGACCCGTGTGTAGGATGGGTCTGCATCTCCGCAAATGTGTTTTGTAAGCCGGGTAACCTTTCTTACCCCGCCTGGCTCTGCTGATGGTACCACTTTTCAACAGGGATCATTCTTGGCCCCTTTCATGATTTAATTTGATTTGTTTTCTTTTGTTTTTAAAATTAGAATTTATGAGTCTTCTTTTTAAACATCATGTCTGTGTATGTCTTATGATGTGATACTTCTTTCATCTTTTTATTTTAATAACTCAAAAAAATATCAAGCTATAGTTGTGGGATTTGAATGTAGGGTCCCTGCTACTTCCTTCCAGAAGGGTTTTAGTGGTGGGTTATAATGATTTTTCTTTTCTCTTTTTGTCTTTCTGAGACAGGGTCTCACTATGCAGCTCAGGCTGGCCTTGAGCTCACTTTGTAGCCCAGGCTGGTCTCAGACTCACAAGGATGCTCCTGCCTCAGCCTCCTGAGTGCTGGGATGACAGGCGTGTGCCACCACACCCGCTACAATGAATTCTCATTGAAGTTGTGTCCCAGAGAAACTGCGTGACAGTGGTTAATTCAGGACGCAGGTCTGGAGAGGATAGGCGTCCGTGTGGAGCCGAGTTACAGTTCTGGTGTGGCATTTCATGGGGCTGTGTCTTGGGCGAGGTCAGCCATTTGTACGCTAGCAGGAAACCGAGAGAACATTCGCTTTCTCTTTCTGAGACGCTCAGGGATGCCTTCAGGCCGAAACCCAAATCCATGTAGATTGTGTTCCTTGCGCCAACAATGGTTGCCTTTTTGGCGCTTTTGTCTGTTGCTTCGGGCCTCCGCCCTCCCTGGGCTCCTGCTCGAAATCCTTCTCAAAGTGCGCAGTGCTGAAAGCCACCTCCCCTCCTCGTCTCCCTGCCGCTCACGTCCCCATTCTCCCAGTGCCAGGGAGGCCAGCCAGGCAGCAGGAGGACGCAGGCTTTAACTTGCCTGAAGCTCTTTCCACTTGAAAATTAATCTCCTTTGAAAGAAATTCCTTTTCCACTCATTTTGAGAAACTTCTCTTATGTGCTAAGTTAATGTATACGTCCATTTCTGCTGCTTATGCATTGGTTTTTCTGACCTCTGTTTCAGTTTTGGTTATTATTCATAATGTTGTATGGTGTTTCCTAGTATCTGACTCACACCTGACTTGTGGGTTTCTTTTTTAAAATTGGTTTTAATACTTGAGTCTGGTTCTTAAAAGTAGGTGTGTGTCAGAATCAACTAGGAAATTGGTAAAAGTAGAACCCAGACCATATTCAGGAACTGGATTGAAACCAGCCCTCTGTCTTTAATTAACGTTCTGGTGATTTAATTAACTAACGTACTGTAACCAAAAGGGTAAAACATACCTTTAAAATTCAAGATGTTTTTCCTTTAGAGATCAGCTGTTTCCCTGAACTTCCTCATGCCCAGGGTGTAAACCGCCACCCCCTCCTGGCCTGAACCGGGACACCTCTGTGCGGAAGGAATGTGCAGATGGCAGCTGGTGTGTGTGTGTGTGTGTGTGTGTGAGAGAGAGTCAGTCAGGGTTCGGGACTTTTCATCGGGAGGGAAGAAGAGCTGCAGGGATGAAGTGACAGGGAGATTTCCTTGCCTGTTGTCTCATTGCGTTTCTCCCCCTCTTCCTTTCCATAAAAGCCCTTTCAGACCTGTGCTTGGCGAGGCAATAAGAAGCCTCCCTCCAGCTCCTTGACAGCTGGCTTTGAAGAAACTCTACCTTTTTTTTTAAACCAAAGATCTTTTGGAGTTCTTGGAGCTGGGAGTGGTATGAACCATGCAACAGTACCACCCAAGTTTCAGAACTTCTGTTTCGCTCTTTGCTGCTCAAACAAATATCACCTGAGATCTCATTAAAAATGCCGAATCTCAGGACCCAGCTCAGAAGGAATCAGAATCTGCAGTTTGATAGGATTCGCAGGCGGCCCAGAGGCACTCTAATGTTTGGGCTGTACTGGAGCAGGTTCTCAGCTCTGACAGTGAACCAGAACACGCAGGAAGTTTGGAAAACAATACTGCCTGGATTCTGACGTAATTGATTGGGATAGGAGTGGAAGGGAGGGATGACACTGGTATTAAGATAGATTCTGCTTCCTTTTTCGTTTTTGTTTTTTGAGACAGGGTTAGGCTGACCTCGAACTCACTGTGTATGTCAGGCTGGCTTCAAACTCATGGCTCAGCTGGGATTACAGGCTTGTGCCACCACACCCAGCTTGAGACAGTTTTTAAACAGTCCTCTGGTAATTCTGAGGAGCAGAGGAGGAGGAAACCGCATAGCTTCCCAGGACCAGGGGTCGTGGGTGTGAGTTGCTTGTCTCGGCTCCCGAGAGGCTGAGCGGAGCCTGGCACTGCCCCAGCCCGTGGCCTGGCATTGTCAGAGCGGCCCTGTCAGCTTGCCCCATGTGCTTCTTGTGACGTCAGTTTCCACAGGGGGTGTGTGGAAGTTATCAGGAAGCATGGCTTGAGAATTTTTTTCCAAATCAATTTTTGAACTATTGTGTTGAATGGGTTAAGATCATAATTGAAAATGTGTCAAATATTGATGTTAACGTGGACATGCTAGCCGTCTCCACACTGGAGGACAGCCACTGCCCCCAGGAGCTTACTTTTTCCGTGTACTAGTTTTTTTAATATATGTCAACAAAGCTTTATAGTTCCCTTTATAAAGGTATGCCCTTATTAGATTTATTCCTAAGGGGTTATCTTTAAGCAGTGTGTGATTGATAGGAAGACTTTTTAAAAAAAGAAATAAAAGCGCTTTGGGCTTTCCCCTAATCTCTTCCCCGTGCTTGTGTAATTCATCCTGCGTGTTGGAAAGAGCCTCAGCTCTTTGTCACCCTCCCGTTCTGACAGCCGTGGCCATGCAGCGGTGGCCTGCTCTGCCTCAGTCTGTCGCCGCGTCAGCCCCGTCCTGACGGTTCTTCATTGTCCGTTCCTCAGCTCAGGTGCCGCGAGAGGGTGACCTGCCTGTAGTGGCCCGGGCTTCCGGCCAGCTGGGGCTGGGCAGGGAGGCGGATGTTCGTATGCTGAGTTTTAAACTGCTGCGGGAGGAGTGTCCCTGGTTTGAGATGCTTGGGACCGGAAGCGTTTCTCCCTTGGGGATTAGGAATTTCTCCTTGTCTGGGTCTCCAGAGAACAGTTTTTGAGGTGTAAGGGTGGAGGGAAAGCTTTTCCTTCCTTACTCTTGCCGAGCTCTCCTTAGTAGTTCTGCGTCTTTAGCTAGATGAAGAGGCTTGCTGGCGGTGTCCACAGCTAGACATCCCCACTGTTGCCCCTCGTCCCGCCCCCTCCCTGGTGGCCGTACCCCGCGCCACTGGGTCGGGAGGTTTCAGCGGTTACTCGGTGGATGAAGTCTCCATCAGGTAAGTCTGAGTCTGTTTGTGCACCAAACCCTGGAAGTCTCACAGTTTAGCGTAAGTGCCTGCTAAATGGTTTATTTGGCGTTGGGCCCTTTCAGTTCTTCCTCTTCGTGCTGCCCAGGTGCTGCTTCTCAGAAGCAGTGTCCAGCCCTGTCTCGTTCTCGGTGAGACCTGTCCTGGGGCTGTAGCGCCTCTTCGTGTACGCAGAGCCACCTGCGCCAGCAGCCCCCTCCCTCCCGTGCACCTGCTGTCTGTGCCGAGCCTCGTCCCTCTGTGGTTTCCTGGCTCTGGAACTCTAGCACACTTGCCCTCCTGGAGAACATGACTTTGTCACTGCCCATGGGGAGGACTCCTGGAGTACCCCAGTTCCATTCCCTCTTCCTCTGCTTTTCCCTAGATGTGTCTGCTAGGTCATTCTTCCCGCCAGTGAACGCCGCGAGCTGCCGCGGTCAGTCGGGGTGGGGCAACAGCAGTGAGAGTCAGGCGGTGGCCGGATGAGAGGCAGGTGTTTCCGCTGGGGGTCTGGATGCCGGAGAGAAGCAGACAGCAGTGTGATAGGCTGGGTGACAGAGAGAGCCGCGAGGTCCTCTGCCCAGGACGGGCGGCGTCCACTGAGGCCTTGGGGCGCCTGGCACCCACGTGGGCATGGGTGGGGGAGCAGCCATCGTTAAGGAAGTAGCACCTGCAAATGCCCGAGGTGGGAAGATGTAATCCAAGGCCAGTAGGTCTGGAGCGGGAGAGAAGGCGGCAAGGGGCCTTCTGAGGACTGTCCTGCGTGCAGAGCGCCCCTTTGTTGTTGTCTGCAAGAGTGGGGACTGAGCCCAGGGCCTTCACACTGAGCCACGTCCCCAGCCTTTTGTATTTTTCTTTTCGTGCTGCCCAGGTGCTGCCTAAGTTGCCCAGGCAATACTTGAACTTGTGATCTTCCTGCCTCAGCCTTCCTCAGTGCTGGGATTACAGGTGGGCGCCGTGGTGCCTGGCTGCTCCTGTGCTTTACCTCGCAAATAAGGACGCTGTGGTCGGGGAGTCCCGGGCCCGCCGTGTGTGTAAGCAGCACTGAACGTTGCAGGTGGCCACCAGCGCCTGTGCGCGTCTCTGTACCCTGTGAGCTGTGTGAGGGCAGGTGCTCTGGTAATCCCGAGGGGCTGGCCCGGAGGACGCTGTCCGCGAATGTCCGGGGATGTATTAGCTGAACAACCTGTGTATTCTTTTGATACGTTCGTGTCAGTGGCAGAGTCATTAACACCATTTAAATGTTTTCTGCTTAATAAAATCTGATCGTTCTGCTGCCGGGACACTCTGGAAGTACGGAAATGTCACAGGTGTTGTTCAAGACTGTGGGGTGTGACTATATTCTGGGTGTTCTCTTCAGCCTTCAGAAGCAAGCCACAGAAATGTTAAGTGGAACCTCTGTGACCAGGAAAGAATGAGAGGGCATGACATTTGAAAAATGAAAACTCTAAGTAGCAGAGGAGAACCTTGAGATAAGATGAACACACAGAGAACAAACACAATGGCTTTTGTTCTTGGAAAGAGGCCGCCAAGTTCTTCTACTACAGGGAGCTGGGGAGCTGGTGGGGAGCAGGCGTGGGGGAAGCTGCAGGGACCTCCTATAACTCGAGATTTCCTCAGTTAATTGTAAGGGCATTTGTATATGATTTGAATTTCACTATTTCCTCTTCGGTGCTTTGAAAAATATGGATCCTAGGAGATGTGCTGTTTTTTATTAACTGCGTAATAATGTCACTTTGTGGTTTAAGTGATTATTATTTTTATTTTATGATTATTCTTTAGCTCTGATGGACAGTGTTGGGGTGTGTTTTTATGAGAGAGAATATTTTTCTGTTATAATCGTTAATACCCACTGTATCCGTATCCCGTTAACTCCTGAACTTTTCTCCCAAATATGTTGGAAACTCTGGTTGGTATATGTTTGTATCCCCATAAATGCAGTCATATTTGAAAGTCTCTCGTGATGAAGCTACAGCCCAGGCTCATAGGCATGCTCTAGTGGTGGAAGTGGCTCCTGGTCTTAAAAAGGATCCTTTCTGATGACTGCTTTCCTCTTTTTCACTTACAAACCACCCTGCCGCTAACAGGAGGGTGTAAAGCATGGTATACCGAGTATGTTTGGACTTTCTAAAAGCCGGAAACGTTTTTCTCTACAGAGACTTCAGCAACACAGAAACACTCTGTAGTGAACAAAAATATTATTGTGAGACGTGCTGCAGCAAGCAGGAGGCCCAGAAAAGGTGCGTGAAGGATTCAGTGTGGGAGTGGCTTTGTGTCCCGGGAGGACCCGGGTGGGGGCAGTAGGTGCAGTTTGGAACGTCCGCTTGACGAGCGTTTTGGCTCATGCACCTTCCTCACCAGTGAAGGTGGCGTGTGAATGCCGACCTTGGACGCTGTCCATTTGTCTGGTGTTCGCTCCCTCTCTCCTTCAGCCACTCCTCTGACAGGTACTGATTGCTGCGTGTGCCACATACTTAGGTGAGCGAGTGGGGTCAGCTGTCACCACTCGCCTCTGGGGATTAGAGACGAACTGCACAAAGCACTTCGCGGGGGACGTACCGCACGTGTAGGTAGCCACGGTACCTCACATGGTGCTCTTACTTAGATACAGGTGCTTCTTACTCACAAAGATTTTTAAAAATCCGTCACTTAACAAGAAGCCGGGAGAGGTGATGAGAAAGTGTGCGTGGCCCAGACTGAGTGGTGCACTCAGAGTGCCCTCTCGTCGTGGCAGCAGTTGCTGCTTAGGAGCAGCTCTTGCGGAGTCTGAGATTGCGAGCTGTCCCCTTTTTCTGCTCCCGGAGGCCAGCAGGCTTGGCCTTTTAATCATCACAAGGAGCCTTACTGAGTCTTACATTTACCTTGCTGGTGGTTCTGGGGTTTTCATGGTAGTTCACGGGAGCTCAGTACTGCTACCCTCCCCGGGGCAAGCGGGGTCCAGACCTGAGCCTCCTCAGCCCTCCAGCCTAGACACGTACATCTTTCTTGATGCTTCAGGATTGAGGAAAGACCAGTCACCGCTGCAGTTAGCGGTGCCGGTGGTAGGGGATGCTTCCTGTTAGAGGACAGTGAACTCGTGTGTGCTGTCCTTCCTAAAGTCCAGTCTGCCTCGGGCAGCCCCAGGTCTGCCTGTGTGGTACGAAGGTATTTGCTGCTGAGCTCTGTAGGTATTATACCGTAAAATGTCATATGTCCCTGTAAAATAGGACACCCCCCGTAATTCTTATATTTTTACCAATGTTTTTATTTTACTTATTTTTATGAGCAAGGTTTTACCTTAATAGATTCCTTAATAGTATTCTCTTAAAATTTGTCCTTTTCAAGCAATACGCATTGAAAGTGCACGAGCTGAAGGGCGCTTAGAATTTGCGCATACCCTTCGTGCAGGGGACCCAGAGGGTAGCCGGAAGCCCCTCTCTTCCGGGAGTGCTGTCTACAGAAGCTCCGGGGGTTGTGACAGTTTACTGAGGAATCTTAACAGTCATCTAGTGAGAAAAGGGTTTTGTGTTTCTGCAAGTTTGGGACATGCTGCTTCAGACAAACTGGAACGCGTCCTTTGCTGCAAGGTTTCACAGACCCTGAGTGCACTAATGTACTCGAAAAACTTTAAATAGGAAGCAGCCTTGTCTAAACATGGCCAGCAGGGCAGCATGTCTCCCGACGTTTGCAGGGCTCTCTTGAGCCCAGTTTGAGAAGTGTAACCCCAGGCAGCTCCTGCGTTGTGAGACCCACAGGCGGGGATTCCCTTGCCCAGCTCACAGCACTCAGGAGGGGGAGAGAGCTTGCTACCCACTGTGTCTGAATCCCGGGAATGTGTGTTCAGAGCTTCCTCCTGCACCCGCAGAACATGAAGTTCTGTCTGTATTTTTCTGTTGTGTCCTCCCTTCTCTCAAAAGCTGTCAGTCTCCCTGTCAGTATCTCAAGGGGTGGATTATCCAAATACATTCCACCAGTGACAGACGGCAGTGGCGTGTCATGTTTTTATTGGTGCACAAATTCTAGAAAGTCTGCTTTGCCCTGCGACACACTGCTGTGCTTCTCTCTGGCTGGCCATCCTCCAGTTAGCTAAGGGGACAGCCTTAAGTCAGCCTTTCCCTGGCAAGCCAGCTTTTCTTCTTGCACACTTCTCTAAAGGGTGCTAGACCCCTTGCTGTTCTTGTCTGTACAGACGACAGTGTGTTCTCGTCCCCTGACAGGTGCTGGGTTCAACTGATTTTCTGTTCTGTGGTTTCTTAGGATGAGGGTAAAAAAGCTCCCCATGATTTTGGCCCTGCACCTGAAGCGGTTCAAGTACATGGAGCAGCTGCACAGGTACACCAAGCTGTCTTACCGGGTGGTCTTCCCCCTGGAGCTGCGGCTCTTCAACACCTCCAGCGACGCCGTGAACCTGGACCGCATGTACGACCTGGTTGCTGTGGTCGTCCACTGTGGCAGGTAGGGTGGGCAGGAGCCAGGTGTGCGTGGTAAATGCAGGGGTCGTCTCCGTGCTGACGCGTGCCTTAGGGGTCGGGCGCTCAGTCCTGGGAATGTCATCCAGACTCTAACTGGTCAGCCCAAGGCAGAGTTGTGTCACTCAACAGTGGAGATGTGTTCTGAGCCGCTTGTGGCGTCACCTGATTTTGTTGCCCAAACATCATAAAGTGCGCTCCCACTGAGACCGGCAGCATCTCAAGGCAGTGTTACCTTCTGAGCCCAGCGCTGTATGTGTGGTCTGCCGCTGACCACGGTGTAATCACGTGATGTGTGACTGGACTTGAACATGCCTGGAGACACACATAAAGTGAATAGCATTGCAGTAGTGGTAGTCCAGATAAGTCTGCTACAAGTCATTCAGTAAATCTCCATTGGTAGACATGATGCTTGTGGTGAATTTTAAATAACGTGGAAAAATAAGACCTTATGCTGTAATTTATTTTTTCAAAAGCCAAATTACATACAGAATGATTTCAAAAGTATTTTGAATTATATAACTAACAACTACAACCAAGATCAGATTTAATAATTTTGTGGCATTTAGAGTGGCTAAAAAGGTATTCTTTTTTTTGTCTTTTTGAGACAGGATCTTGCTATGCAGTTCAGGCTGGCCTTGAGCTCACTTTGTAGCCCGTGCTGGTCTTGAACTCGCAATGATCCTCCTGCCTCAGCCTCCTAAGTGCTAGGATTATAGGTGTGCGCCACCATGTCCAGCTTAAAAAGCTATTCTTAAAAACATTCTTCATGCAGACATTCCCAGCTTTTCCCCACATGCTACAGTAAGTATATATAACCAGACGAAAAGAAGGCCTCTCAATAGCGAGAGGCAAAGTGTTTTGTTGAAAGTCCTTTGGGCATTTAAAAAAAATTCTGTAATTGGCATAAGTGTGGGAATATATTGAAAATCCACCTGTTGGCCATTCTTTGCTCAGTGGGGACAGACACACATTCTCTCTGGGGCAGGTACAGCGTTCCTTGCTGGTGTCAATTTTGGGTTGGGCTGTGTTTTATAGAGCAAGCGTCATTCCTGTCCGTGTGCCTGGATGAGATGCAGTGGAAGCACCATTGCCAAGAGCGCACCGACACCACGGGGGGAGGGGCTGATTTCTCTTTCACTCCATGTGGAGGTGGGTGGTATCAGAAACTACTTCACGTGTGGCACATGCCACGTTTTGTGCTGGCTGTGTTGGTTTCGGGTCACAGGGCGCTTTGCTGTGTCTCAGTGAGTACATTCCTTGGCCCATTGTGAGCCGGCTTTGTGTTCTCCTGAAGAATAGTTCTGACAGTCTTTCTTCTGAAGAACGAAGTGGAACCCAGTGACTAAAAGCCAGCCGTGAACACTGGAGAGCCCCACACTGGGGCAGGCTGGAGAGGTCTGGGGCGGGCAGAGCCTGGTGTGGGTGGGCATCGAAGGTGGTGGTAACTGGACTGGCAAGGTGGGCAGGGAAGCTGGCTGAGGGATAGAGAGATACTTACATGCACCGGGCAGCTTCAGTTTGGGTCGGGGGGAGGCTGGGTTCCGATCATCAGTTTCTGTAACGGACACACAGGGTTTGCACAACGCTGGCAGCAAGTTAGTGCCAACGCATGCTGCCAACTAGGACGCTTTGAGCTCCACCTCCGGAGGCAGCTGACCTGTGTGTGGGCAGGGAGTAGCTTCCTGGGCCCTGTGCCAGGATCTGAGGATCCCGACGTGAGGCTCGGAGCTCTGCCTGCGTGAAGCTTGGGGTCTGATGGTACAGGTGGATGATGGGCACAGACGTGCCCTGGCTGCGCTAGACATTGCATGTGTGTTCAGGGTGGGATGTGCAGAAGGGGAGGAAGCCGAGGGGTGGGCAGAGCTGAGGGGAAGGCGCTGCAGGGTCTTGTGTTACAAGAAGGCAGACTGAGACAGGAAGGGTGGGACTCAGCTTTTTACCCTCACCGGTGCCTTCAAGAGGCTTAAGGTGCGCGGTGTGTGTACCAAGTCCCCGCGGTGATCGTATTTATACTGATAAGGGGGGGCGAACAACTCCAGATTTAGGATTAATTCCCCTTGTGTGAATTTAACATAACTACATAGAGCGACTGTTCTTCCCACTTCTTTCTGTGCTGTGCAGTGTGTACTTTTATATCTGGGCCCTTATTAATTACAGGCTTGATGACTGGTTAATGCCAAGCCTCAGAGTTGCCCGGTGTCGCCCTGGCCATCTCAGCTTGAAGTCTGCAATCTTAGCGGGGACGCCCCCGCAGTCTGGCCCCACCCTCCGCCCGCTCAGCTGCCCGCTGTCCTGCCCAGGGCTCGCTCTGGCCTCCGAACTCTTCCGTGAACTCACCTAGCGCTGACCTCTGCTGGCCTTTCCACCTGCTGCCGTGCACAGTCCTGCCCTGCACCCCCGTTTCCTTCCTGGGAGTTTTCCGTTGCACTGGTCCCACATTGTCAGAGAGGCCTCCGGGAAAGGCTTCCTTTTCATCAAATAGTACCTTACCCTCAGTACACTCTCGCCCACTCTCTTCACTGCATGCCCCACCGCTGAGCACGGGTTAAGTACTAGTGTCTCAGTCTCTTTTGTGCTGCCATAACAGCGCCGCAGATGGCGTAGTTCATGTCAAAGTTCATTTGGCTCACGATTCTACAGGTTGGGGGGTCCAGGCTCCAGGGGCTGCGTCCGGTAAGGCCTTCTTCCTGCTAGTCATAGCGTGGAGAAGGTGCCCCTCGGAGCGCGTGCACGGTGCGGGAGAAGGCGCTGGTCTTGATCTTATAACAAAGCCACTTCGGAGTAACAGCATCATTACCTCTTAAAGGTCCCACCTCAGTTGTTACTGCATCAGGAACGAAGTTTCTGATGTACGAGCTCTGGGAGACACCTTCCAGCCATAGCAGCAAGTCCCTAGAAAGCTGGGCTTGTTTTACTCACGGTTTTTCTTTCTGACAGCTGGAATTAAGACCTGACACACAGTAGGCAGCAGTAACTGTTAGTACGTGCTGAATGTGCCTGTCTCCTTTGCCCAGGGACTCTGGGTCCTCAGTGGTGATGGCTTCACACACCGTTTCCTTGTGGCCAGCACGGTTCCAGCATCCGGCTGTTCCTCCATAACCTGTGGACATAGACTGGCGTCTCAGATCCCTGCGCTTAGATGATCCACCTGCCTCTGCCTCTTAGTCACTTTTCTTGGTGCTGACAAAATTTCCCGATGCCCAAAATTAAGGAAGGATAGGTTTATTCAGCACACAGTGTGTAGAGGTTTCAGTCCACAATCAGCCGGCTCCAAGGCAGGGTGGCGTGGTGCAGGGGCAGCACTTCAAGGAGCAGAAGACAGCAAAAGCACCAAGAGCACAAAGGGAAGGGCCGGCCTCTTTTCCTCCCTCACATTGTAAGCAGGCTGCCGGCTCCCCTTACCCCAGGGAGGGTGTAGCACTCAGGCCATCTCCACACCCTCCTCTTGCACAGGTTTAGGATGTTTACAAAGTGAGGACCCTGGCCCCCTGCTGAGCCACTTGGTTAACCTTCTAAACTTCTCAAGTTGACACAGTGAACAACATCCTGGGGAGGGAAGGGCATGTCCTCTACACGCTAGGACTGCTAAATTACTTAGTTAAGCTTCTAGACTTCTCAAGTTGACATAATGTGTTATAACCATAATGGCCTCCTAAGTAGGTGGAATTACAGACCTGCACTACCACGCCTGCTATCCCAAATTCTTTATTCTGGTGTTGTTTGTTAGTTTTTTCCCTAGTGAGTCAATGCTGGTAAACAGCTAAATAGATTTATAAGGAAGTAAATGTTTACTTGGTGCCTTTCTTTTGTTTGCTCTTTTCCAGTGGCCCTAATCGTGGGCATTATATCACCATTGTGAAAAGTCATGGCTTCTGGCTTTTGTTTGACGACGACATTGTAGAGGTTGGTATGCAGTTTTTCTTTCATAGCAGTAGGGTAGAGGTGGGATTTGAGGGGGACGTGTATGTTTTCTAAGATTGTCCAGTTTTCTCGTAATCCTACTTGAAAACTTTATTTTTACATTTCTGTCAGAACTAGTGCCTGCTGATCGCCTTCTCCATGGACAGGTGGAGGGGTGTGGTTGCGGACTACCGTGTTCTTATTGACCTGATTAGCTATGTAGATGGCTGCATCGCTAAATTTTCATGCCGCCATAAGTCACAATTCCTGCCATGGCTAGCTCTCTGTACTACAGGACAAGTGATAAATTTCAGAATTATGTTCAAATTCTTTTATTGTAACAATTTTTGCTATATTGATGGTATTGATGGTTATTTAAAATTATATATATTTTTTAGTCTGTTGGCTTTGGAAGTCTTTATATTACACAAAAGCATTTCACATACTAGTTTTGTTGTAAAGGAATACCAGCTGGAGTGAATGCTACACTCAGAAACATGATCTACTTTAACCCACTGGAGTGATTTTTAGTAGGATAACAGTAAAGGAAATGAACTCTGATGGCCTGAATGAATTAAGAAATAACTAAGAATCAGTTAAAGACCTTCCTGTTTACCCTTTTGAGAGACAGAATGCCTGGTTTCTTCAAAAAATACACAGTAGTGGTTACTAATAAATGACAGGGTGGCTTTCTTCCCCATGGTTTGCAGTTTGTGTAACAGTGTCCCCTCTGTCACGTCTATGCCGTATCCATGTGGTACCAAAAGTTCCTACTTGTAATTTTAGAAGCTACTGTTTCTTACATTTTATTGTGTTGTTCATCAGCTTTCCTTTGCCCAGGAATCATGTTAAATAATTGCATTTTTTTTTTCCTTCACTGCAGAAAATAGATGCTCAAGCTATTGAAGAATTCTATGGCCTGACGTCAGATATATCGAAAAATTCAGAATCTGGATATATTTTATTCTATCAGTCAAGAGAGTAACTTACAGAGTGGGACTAACTCACGTGGGGGGCGTTGTTCAAAGCACTATTCCCGTTTCTCTGCAGACCCCTTCCCCAGCGGCCCAGTGATGTCATCACTTCGAGTCTGAGTGGTCTGGCTGTGTTCAACTTTCTCCTCTTGTTTTACATGCAGCACTACTCTCGGTTTTATTTTGGTCTGAGATAGAGTTAACTGCAATCAGATTGTCATAAGGTTTATATAAGAAACAGTTGCTAATTTGAGGACTTGGGTGAATGGTGTGCCACTTCTTATGTCTGGCTAAATTAGAATGACATTTCCAGTGAGTGTCACAGTCTCTTTTGAGTGTTTACGAAACTTCTGGGGTCTCCTTTCAATGCATTCCTTTAATTTGTCCCTGGAAGCATCGCTACACATTTTTAGCTTGTTTGCTACTTTTGTGACAGAAGGACAGAAGAATTGGGTAGATGTTCACCTTTTAGGGCTGCAACTATAGCTTTAAGTTTGTGCAAGGGAAATGTTGAAAAGTGAGTAACCTTGATCTTAAAAATCATCCTCCACATAGAGCAGGGTGAAGAGAAGCTGTGCATGGTGGCTGGAGTCCGCAACGCGCTGTGCTGACCTAGCCGTAGAATTCCAGGGGCGAAGACATTACAGAGCTCAGGGCAGGTGAAGCCAAGAGGAAGAAGTTTCTGTGGACAGTAAAAAAAAAAAAAAAATCACTTTTCTTATCTTTTTACCAAAACCAAGTTTCAGGAAAATATCTCGATGCTGTTAATTTTTAGTGACACTTGTGTAAGGTCCTGTGAGTTGTACTTACCCCGTACCTGGCACTGCTAAGCTTTTCAGGCTGCCTTTCCGGTCCTGCTGACGTCTTGCAGTTGTGGGCCCAGGGCTGAGACGCCACGTTGACTGCCTCCGGCACATCTCCCTGTGGCCGCCAGCACCGCCACCCTTCCCCGTGGGGAGTAACGGAAGCGCCGCGCCTTTACAGCCGTCAGCCGCCTCAGCAGCTTGGCTTGTTAACATATTCGGGCTGTTTGCGGTGGCCCTGGCGCGTTCCAGGGCGAGAGTGGACCCTCGCTAGAGGCGGCGCAGGCGTCGGCGGGCCGTGAGCTGGGTTGGCGCAGGCGAACAAGACGGCAGCTGTTTTTCCGGCTCAGACCCTAGAATGCTTAACCAGAGTTTTTTGAAGAACCTCATCTCACTATAGTTACTTTTACTTTTTCCACTTTTGTTATATATGTATTTATGATAGCATTTGAGTATTGGTACCTTTTATTAAAAGGTCAACTTGGTGTTGTGCTGTTGAGCTGGTTTCTGGTTTCCTACAAATACTGAGTCCTAGGTCTTGACTTCCTTTGGGAGGCCGGCTGACTTCCACACACTGTAAATGCTGTGAACGCTGTTGCCTGACACATCTGCGAACGAACATGCAAACTCTTGGCATAATGTGAACTAAGATTGCAAATGTTAGTGGCCATTTTGCAACCATGAAGAGGATAGCACTTTATCTAGATAAAAACTGGATTTTTTATTTTTTAAATACCTTGAACTGTTTGTTGCTCAGAACTTAAGCATGCCAACACGTCATTTGTCCATGCTTGAAGTGAAATGTTTTACTCTTCACTGGAGAAGACAGAACAGGTTGATCTTCATCTCACTGCTTCACACGAGTGCCGAAAACGTACCTGGCCTTGACGGGAGGCAGAGCCGCATTCGTAATGGTTTCTTTTTTTCTCCATGGAGCGTTCTGTGATCAGTTTCCCAGGAGGTGAGTTGTCTTTGCTCTTCCAAGGAAAGTCACTTTCCAAACTGAAGGAGGCTGATGTAAAGAAATATTTGTACTATTTATAATCCATATATTTGACTGCAAGTTACAGAGCTTAAGAACATGATGGTTGAACTCTAATATATTTGGAACTGATTCATAAGAAAAACAAACTATTAAATTATCTTTGAAACCATTCTTGAAGCTAATTTATTAGATAAAAATGTTTCAATTGCAGGCCTGTAGAAATAATAGTTCAATGCTAAGTTATAAGTTCAGTGCATTTTTCTTTCCTTTTTTGAATCTGTAACGTTTCCCCCAGTGATTAAACTGCAGTAATTGCTTTTAATAGAGTCAATTAAAATTTAGTATTCTTGGATAGATTTTTAGGATAAGAAAAGATGGGTAGACTTTTGGAATAAAAAGATAAATGTGGGAAATATTGCACAGACGTTCAAACAGTTGGTGATGCACGAAAAGACTAGAAGAGACCAAAACACGTTTCTCCAGCTCCACCAGCTTTCAACAGTGTAGAGCTGTCGGGTAGTTTCTTACCTCTTCCTCTTCCTTTAAAAAACCTCTAGGCAGCTACGTTTCCCCCAGTCATTTTTCTTTATGTTAAGACAGTAGCATGCACACACACTGTTACTTTCTGCCCCTGTTCCTAGCACACAGCAGAGAGTGCTGTGGGGTATGCAAGGCCATTCCGCGGTCACTGATAGCACAAAGGCTCAGCAATACTCCCTCCCGTGGCCAGGGTTTTGTGTCTTTTCCAGCAGGAGTGAGTAGGCCTGCTGTGTTTCGCTAACTGCTGGGTGTTTAAGATAAGTTACAATGTTTGACACTTGAAAAAGTAAATATCTGCTTTATTGGTTACTTAGTAGTTTCACGCCTAGGGTATGGTGCAGTGTGCTAAAGTCTTTTCTTAAAAGCAGATTTTGGTAAAACGCTGACGTGCGGCCCTGTGGCCTTGGCGTGTCTTCCGCTCCAAGGCAGCACTGCGTGGGCTGGCGCGAGGAGAGCGAGGGCGGCACCGTCAGCGGTCTGCGTGGATAGGAAGCCAGGCACGCTGGGTCTTACGGCTTGGTATGTTGTGGTTTAAGACGAAATGGAGAAAAGGACAAAAATGGTCCCTATGCATTTTCTCTCATGGATGTCCTTGATCTAACGGGCATGCCTACCAAGAACTCTTCTAACTGGTGGTTAGGGCTTACTTTGGATATTGGAGGGTGGCTTTGTTACAGATGGATTTTATCTTCGAACACTGCATTTTGACCAGCTTTGTATGTTCACGTGTATTAAAACACAGTGCACTAAATGCTTTGCCCCCCTTTGCTGTCACCCGGTCGAGGTGTCCATTAGCTCTGTCGTCACTAACTCGTGTGAACGGCGTGGTCAGTGAGAGCTATTTCCTGTTTCCTGCCGAATTAAATTGCTGTTTTCTAGTATTTCATTAATTTATTTTTGGCTCTCGTTTCTGTATACCAAAAGTAGTTTGTGTGTGTGTGGCATTCGCTTGATTTTGTTGCTAAAAGACTTGTAGTTTTTATTTAAAGTAATCTGTACCTTAGTTTTTTAATGTAACCAATTCAAGCACTTTAAGCAATAATGTCAATCTTGTGAAATTTCAATCAGTTTTAACACCCTGCCTCTAAAATTGTTTGCAAAAAATAAAAACTAAAAAATAGGAATTCTCTTTCTAGAGAATTATATCTGGGTATGCTTACACACGTTGACCTAAGATCCATTTTATCAAAGTGTGGGTCAGGAGTGAGCCTTATGTCCAGGGAATCATCTCAGACATAATCTGGAAGCACTGGAAATGTAAAGAAGACTCTGGTGGCTGTCATAGTGCAAGGGAGTGCTGCTGTGACGGTTGACAAAATCAATGTTCTGGAGATAACACTACTTTCTTGAGTGAAAAAGATCAACAGAATTAATCCAGAAACTTGTATCTGGGGAATAGCTCATAGAGAAACATTAGTGGATTGGAAGATAGGTCTCAGGCTCACAGTGAATTCCTTTCCTGGGACTTGGCTAGTTAAATGAAGTGGCTTCCAGCTCGGGTCCTATCAGCATCCGGTGGCAAGGAAGCTAGGGGGATGTGGTCCTGTCCTTGGGCTTCTCGGCTTGTTTGAGCTGCGGGAACCCCAGCTTCACAGGCCCGCAGCTGGGCGCGCAGCGCTGCCTCCCCAGGAGCACAGCAAGTGGCAGTCCCTCTGTGGGGGCTCCGAGTGCAGCCTGCAGTTGCCCCCAGAGGACCTCTTCCCAGCCGGTCACCGGGAGGGGACCCACAGAGGGGCAGAAGCCGTCCCCTCGCTCTCTACTGGCCCAGCTGTGGGAATAGACGCCGCAGGCCCAAGAGGGTGTGCTGTGTTGTAGTGGTGAGTGCCGGCCCTCTGTGGGGCTGGTACCGTGGAACCTGAGTGGGAACTGAGGCTGTAAGGAAAGTCACCTGTTGCCAGGAGGATCCAAGGAAGAGAAGACCTTGGGAATATGCTTTATTTTTCCAGGCCTTGTTCTCTCCATCTGTCAAATGGGGCTTATAGGATAGGCCTGTCACTACCAAGCCCCCATGGCAGCACAACTTCTGAGGAATGAGAAGAGTTCGTTGTCTCTCTGTGTGTCCCTCTCTTTTCATTGACACTTAAAACACCTCTGACAGGGCATGAAGCCTTCCGTATTACCCATTGCCTTATACTTCCATGAGGATGAAGATACTTGCTCAGTTACTGCTGTTCCCCCTGGAGAAGTTTTGATCGTGGGCACAATCCTAAAAACCAACCACTTAGATCTTCCTAGAGATGCCCTGGGTGGAGGAATTTTAGCTCAACAGTCACTTTGGCCTTGAGTGCGAGGCGTTGTGCCATTTGGGACGTAGAAAAGTGAAACAGGTTCCTCTTCTCATCTCCTGGCTCAGAAGAAATGTCTGCGTAGAAAAGAAATTTAAAGTTGTGTAAATAACGTGAGGACTGTGGGCATTCGCCCTGGTTGGACCGTGCAGGTGGCACTTTACGAAGAGTAGGCGTGCCTCTCTTCCTGGGGCCCCACTTTCTTTCCTGCCTGCCTTAGGCATTGCCTTAGCCTGGCACCTCCTAGCGGTGACACAGTTTTAAAAACAGAGTAAAACCATGATGTTGCAGCGGTGGACTTGAGTGTTTTGCCTCTTAATTGTCATAATAAAGGAGAAAATACATGGAGAATCCTAACCGTGATTTCATAAGTCGTGTCTGCCATTTCTAAGCCATTTGTTTATGTTATTACCAAATAATTAAGGCATATTACAATTTCACCAAATTAAACCAAGGCACAAGAGTCTTTAAGCCATATGACTAGTGGTTTCATTCGATTAACAACCTGTGTTAATCTCATTTTTGAGTACCCACTGATTTCAAGTGCTTTAAGCCAAACACATGAGGAGCTTACAAAGGAAAGAGAACTTCGTTTTGGTAATAAAAGACTAGTCAGAAATGACATGAGATTTTGTAAAAAGGGTTCCTAATTTTGCACTGACTTCCCATGTGTTGTTAATAAAGTATTCACAACCTTGAGGGTATTGTGTTCAAATTATAAATTACATGGGTGCGTGTTTCACATTTTTCTCCCGAGTGAACGTATACGGTGTTTGTAAGGCATGTCTTACTTTTCTTCTTGCTGGAACAAGTTAAAGGAGGAGGGGTTTATTTAGCTCACAGTCTGTAGCGGTTTCAGTCTATGGTCAGCTTGCTCCAAGGCAGAGGGGAAACAGTCCATGGCAGGGCAGCAGGGAGTACCCGGCGGGGAGCCTCCCTTCTTTCCCTTCATATTCCATCTGGACTGTAAGCCTATTGGTGCCACTCACAGGTTATTGCTTCCCGTTACACACACCCAGAACTCCACTCAACCAATCAGTGGGCTAATTTAATTATCACACTCTTAATCCATATCCACGCATCTTTAATCCATACTCACACACCCTAGAGCCAGCTACTTCTGAAAAGCCCCGTGCATGAGGGCATGAGGCTTTGGGGGGACATCTAGAATGTACGCTGTAACTTGTAGTGTGGAATTCCACAGAAACTCTTGGGAAGGAAGGTTGCATGAGCGTTGCAGGTTGTAATCCTGTTTTTTCCCTGACCTCATGACAGTAGGAAGCTTTGAGAGGAAACCATCATCGGAAGAGTCTAATGGTATATGAAGGTTGAACCCACTGAAGAACCTGCCCTTGGGAATTTGCAGCGAGTGTGCAAGAATAAAAGGGAGTGCGGCTCTCACAGGGATGAGAGGGGGGTAAATTTAAAACCTACTATCTCTCAGCTTTTCCTAGGGTCTCCCTGCAGTACCTGTCCCAGTCTGTGTTCACCTTGTAGAGTTAGTGGAGACCCCGCTGAACCCCGTAAGTGACCCCAGCCTATAAGCAACCTATAGATGCTGTGTCCTTTCTATTGTTGCTGGGACCTTGACCTCTGATGGGGGAATTTTAGGCACATTCAGTAACTGTGAAAAAAACTGCGGGCTTGGAATCACAAGTTGGGATTCCAGTGGAGGACGGTCATGAGCTGACACCATCGCCGCGGCATGTGGGAAGCAGAGTCGAGACGTGAGACCCAAGTTCGAGTCCTACCTGGTGCTCTCTAGTTGGATGGTGCTAAAAGTGGGCGGGTGGGGGTGGGGTGCTCAGGGCGGGGTCTGAAGGGGCCCTTTCCACAGGTCTTCAAGGGGAGACACGCAGTACAGGGGGAAAGGGGCCAGCTGCTCAAGGAGCTCTGGGGTATTAGGCTGCACTGCCTCCTCGGTTCTCACATCAGCTGCCAGGCGTGAGAGACGAGGGTGAAGAGAGGTGAGAGGAGGGCAACTGCTGACGGCCAGGAGCTAGCCTGGTGCTCGGAGCTGGGCCACGGCGTTTTCTTGTGCACTATAAACAAACAATCTCAGAACACCAGCCTCCGACACGGGCTGCCGTGGCCGTGATGAAGGGAGATGAGAAGAATGTGCAGAATTTCTGCAAGCATGGGCCAAAGCAAGGCCAGGTGTACGTCGCGAAGTACCAACACGCCCTCGCACCCAGTCCGTCGCCTGCGTGAGCGCTGTTTCACCGTTTCCTCTGCCTCCCTTCTGACCTGACGAGGCGTAGTAAGTTGCCCCGTGGGAATTCCCCCTCCTGACAGCACCTAAGCCGCCGAGCCAGGGCGCAGGCCTCTGGGTGCCCCCGCACGTCCCTCCTGAGGTGGCCACAGCCGTGTGTGCTGTGCGGGCTCCGGGTACGGTGACTGCTCAACAGCTTGTTCACCGTGTGGGGTCCTGGGGGTCTGTCTGGCGGGCCCCCAGAGAAGTGTGCTGGACTGAGACAGCCGCTGGGATCTGTTCTCAGGGTGAAAAGGGACGAGTACATGCGGTCGTAGGTGTCGTCGTGCTTCCCTGAGCGTTGGTAAGTGCTGGTCCACACGCTGAGCCTTCCAACTTCGTGTTTCGAACCTATCGAGTGAGGTTGAAGAGCAGGTTCATAATGTATAGAAAGTGCTGGGAAGCACAGTGGCTGTAACGGGCACGTCCACGCCTACCCTTAGAACCTGCAAATCCTCCTTTGAGACATGGTGCGAAACCGTGAAGGTGGGGCCTGAGCTCCTTGCATGCGGGCAGGGTCAGTCTGCTTAAGGAACCCCAGTTTGCTCCCGTGGAGGAGGTCCAAGTACCTACGCTGGAAGGCTTTCGGGCAGCGTAGGGAGGGGAAGGGCGCAGGGCAGGGTGGAGAAGGCAGGTGGCTGGAGCGGTGATGGGGGTACAGTGCAGGGTCTGGTGCCCTCTAGTGGGAATGGCCTAAAAACGCCCCCCAAAGAGCGGCCGTGGGTCTTGCTTTTATGCACACTACTTAGTCATGGGTTTTCATAAAAACCAAACAGAAAAGCTGACAGTGTAATTCCTTATCTTTCTGCAAAATGGGGCACGGGGTGTCGGAGGCGACAAGAGAACGAGCTCCCTGCTACAGTGTCCTCATCTCTGAAGCCTTGTGCCTTAGAACGTTGTTGACTGAAACACATACCTCGTCTGGGGCGGGGGCTGCGGAGCAGGCAGCTGCAGCAGGAGAACAGAGGGCGGTTCATTTTCGCTCCTCTTTAGCTTATTAACGTCACAAGGCAGGAAGAGGGAAAGAAGAAAGTGACATCTTTGAGACACGGATGGAGGCATCGAAATCAAAGGTCTGAGAGCCGCGTTATTCTAGGAGGTACAGGGAGAGCCCGTTCCAGCCAGCTAAGGTGACAAAGCATAAATTTAGTCCGTATAGTCCCACCCAAGAGCACACATCCGGTTTGGTTTCTGCTACTGGAATTTTGTTACAATTCTTTGCAAGCTCCTGATTTTTGTCAACAAAAAAAATCTGAAGACCTTCCCTAAAGTGATACAGAACAGGGACTTTTTACTGTTTTAGAGTTTCTAGAAAATCAGCTTTGCATTTGGAGCAGTCCTACATGATCTTTGCTGGAGACACTTTTTTTGTAGTCGTGTCTGTTGACCAAAGTATAGGCTACATAATAGAATTTTGATTAAATTAGGCTCAGAATCTTTCTTGTCCCATTTGCACAGATGGAGAAGTGAAGTATTAGGAAGTCTGCGCTGACATTCTGAGAGCAAGAGCTGCAGAAGAAGTGCATGGTGACGGTGTGAGGAGAATATGCAACAGAGAAAATTTGCCAAGTGGAGCTGAAGGGCACAGGGAGAACAGGGTGTTACTGCTAGGTGTGGCTGGTTAGGAGCGACTTCCGTCATTCTGAGATTTGGACGAAGCTGCTTGATGGAATTTATTTTAAAAATAGATTTTGGGAAGGCAGGTAAAAGTTTTATCCTTAAAAACTTTTTATTACAGGGAATTTTTAAAAAAGTAATGTAGTGAGCGCAGGACACTGAGCCATAAACCCAGGACTCAGCTTTGGTGGAGAACGATGGGCGGTCTGGTCTCAGCACTGTTCAGGTAGAGTTGGAACGGTGCCACCTAACAAGCCTTCGTCACGCAGGGTCTCTAAACCCGTGAAGCATAATGCAGGGGGTGTTAATGCAACCCGCTGACAGGCACCTCTGGGGATCGTCCACTTAGTGTTCCTCTTTCTTGAAATGATATGAATCAATGTAAGTGTGGAAACGGTTTTGTGATACAGAGGTTTTATCTTTGGAATAACTTAAACTTGTATAATGACCAAGTACCATGAAATACAGTGACCCTGAAGTTTCAGCGTATGCGAGTGACTGCATTTATTTGGAAAATTATAATAAAAATAATGGTTGATCATAGCTATATAAACTATCAAATACATACATTTAAACAAAAGCGAAAATGTACACAGTTCGTGTCAGTCTTTCTCTTCTGGGTTTTCACCTTTCCGTCTACTTAGCTTTCTGGAATTTTTCCGAAGGGATGCGGCCAGGCTCAGCATTTCTATTTGTCTCAAACTTTTCCTTACTGAATGCCCTGGGCTGGTCTCACTGATTCATGAATTATATTAAAGAATTCCACATCGGAAGAGATTATGGATAATGGATTATGGATTATCAGAAGAGAACTGGATTATGGTCCTAGCTTCCCAAAGTCAAGATAAAAAAAAAGCAGACGCTCTCCTGCGCGGCTTTCCACGGTGGCGTCACCTGGAGGAAGGAAGCAGGGAGCAGTGGTGGCTGCCCCGGTGCCCTGAAGCGGTCACTGAGCTGCGAACCCTGCAGCGGGAAGGGGTTTCCAGCTCCACCTTAGCTCTCGGAATCGCCTTCTCTCCTGGGAGCTTGCAGACAGCACCCCAAGAGAGGTATGTGGGTGCAGGGTGTAGGCAGGAAAGAGACAGAAGTGATTGTACCGTCAAGAGGGAGACAGAATCAGGGTCTCATAGAAAACTTCACCCTGTGTCCCATGGTCCAAATGGTCCTAGGCAAGCTCAAGTAGAACTTAGAGAGTGTGCACGTGTAGGATATGTTACATGGCACTAGTATACACTCCTCTTATAAGCTGTAAAATTTCACACAATAAAGCGGTGAGGACAATGAGGCTATTCAATGAACATGAAACTTTGAAATCAAGGACTGTCACTGCAAACAGTCAGTCCTAGCTTGAGTTTTGTTTTGCTTATGCGTGATTAAGAAATTTACACAGATACATCTTTTCTTTTCTTTTCTTTTGTCTTTTTGAGACAGGGTCACCCTACACAGTTCAGACTGGCCTTGAGCTCACTTTGTAGCCCAGGCTGGTCTCAAATACGCAAGGATCCTCCTGCCTCAGCCTCCGGAGTGCTGGGATTACAGGCGTGCGCCACCATGCCCGGCTGTGTTTTCAAATACTGTGGTTTTTTCAACAGCTGCTTTGCTATATGCAGAATTATTTTAAAAATGAGGAGGAACTTTCCTTATAAATAAGTTAGCCTCCCACATGACCTCAATGGGGGTTCTCCAATGAGCTGAAGTTTGACTTATAACACACTTGAATATGTTTCTTGATCCCAAAGCCAAGTTGTACGTTAGACACGAAATTCTCGTGTGGCAGCCCTGAAGCACGGTTCCGTGGAACACAACTTGAAAACAGCCGTCTGGGGTTCAACCGGCGAGGCTTCTCTTATTTCTGTAGGAAACACCTTTCAGCCTCGGGTGCTGCCCTGGAAGGCTTGCTTTCTCCTGAGGCTGGTGCTGAATTTACTTAACCTCACTCTCCCTGCGGTAGCTCTGTGGATGGGAGGGTTGGCAGGGGAGGGCCAGCCCGTTCCCCTGGGACTCGGCACTTGCACTGCCTTTGTGACCCCTTCCCTGCATGCAGAGGGTGGGTCTAGGCCCGAATGAAGTAAAATCGCCATGCAGGAGTTCATTCTCTTCAGGGCTCTGCCCCGGAGTTGCAGTGTGTCTGGCATTGCTTTCCTTTAGGACCCGCGTTTGTCAGCTGCTCTGTTGGCATGTGCTGCACTGGCAGGGCACACCGCGGTCCCAGGGCTTCGCCTCATTTTCCACCGCAGCTTCCCCGTCGCTGTCCCACGACTCGGAGCCAGACGTGGCCGGGCGTCTTGTAGCTGCGCTGGTGAACTAGTCCAGCCACATGCTGACGGACGCTCTGCGGATACTCGTTACTCTTCACACCCACTTATTGGGCAGTTGTTATGTGCTGGGGGAGGCTAAGGGTTCTCTCCTGACCTTATCCGTCTGGAGATGAGTAAACTGAGGCTCGGCCCTCCGGAGTCCTTTTGGAGAGCTTCGTTCTGGTGGCCACCTAGGCTACCTAACACAAAGTCCAAGGGCAGGAGGTGTGATGAGTGAGAACCAAGCTTTTGTTCACTGGAAAGAATAATCTTTCCCCCACATAACACAGAAGTTAAGAGCACAGGCTTAGCACTAAAAGCAACAGATTAGAACACAGGCTGTGGATGGACCTGGGCCTCGGTCTCCTCACCTTACAGTGGGGACAGTAGCAGCACCAGTGTCTAAGCGCGGTGCGGACGGACCGAGTGAGCGTGTCAGCAGGCAGCACAGGGTCTGTGACTCCCATGGACACACAGACGCCCCCACCGCGCTGGAACGCAAGTGGCGGACGGCAGTAACTGTCCCTTTGTTACTGTGAGCTCCTGTTTAGCCTGGGGTAGCCGAGCGCAGCATCCCAGTCAGATCATCCAGTGCAGCGCATACTTAACGCAGGAATAACTGAGCTTGCCTGGATTAAGAAAAAGACGAGATTATGCTGATATCATTTAGCTTAGTTATTTTATTCCTGGGAGTTAGACCACCTCTCTGGATCACGGGCGGCCTTTGCGATGGGCTGATTCGAACGGTAGCTCGTTTGTGTCTTTTTTGTCTTAGGGTAGTGCCATCCACAGATTGCGGCCTTGGGCACAGATGGGTGCCGTGGTGGCCAAACAGAAAGGGAGCAGAAAGAGCCGATTTGATGTAGGGATGATCTAGGACCTCCAAAGGGAAGAAGGGTGTCTTGGTTACTTTTCTCTCGTTGCTGGAACAAAATACATGACGCCCAAAATGAAGGAAGGAAAGGTTTATTTAGCTCACAGTTTGGAGGTTTCAGTCCATACTTGGCTGGTTCCGAGGCAGAGTGGCACGTGGCAGAGGGAAACGTTTAGGGCTGCAGAACACAGCAAAAACAACAAGAGCAAAAGGGAGGAGTGGCAGCAAGCAGCCTCTTCCCTCCCTTACACTGTGTGCAAGCTACCCGCCCCAGGGCAGGTGTAGCACTCACACCCGTAATCCCGGCATTGGACCATGGATCAATCACAAATCCTAGTAGCCCGCCCATGACTGCATGAGGATTTGAGGGGACATGCAGACCCAAACCGTAACAAAGGGGATATGATAACTCCCAACCTGCTTGATGTTCGAGTTCGTGTTCCCCAAAATCAGAGAATGAATTCTAAGGAATACTGGAGGTTAAGAGTAGGACATACTGCGGGAAAGGCAGCTCCTGTTGGAGACAGACAGAAGGAGCCCGGTGTGTTGCCCACCAGTTCACTTCTCAAGCGAAGTTTTACAGAGAAAAATCACGAGGCTACGAAATCCTGAGGTGGGTATAAGGTGGCACAAAACTGTAATCAGCCAACAAGATTACAAGTACAGTAGCTTAGATACTATTGATCCAATAGGAAAGCAAGTCATGTCGCAAGCTGGGCAAAAGGTGGACCAAAACCATGATCAGCCAGTAAGATTCCAAGTATAGTCGCTTAGGTGATGTTGACCCAGTGGGGAAGCAAGTCACGCAGTAAGTGTTCACAGAACAAGAACCTTTCCTGGAGGGCGTGCGTCAGGGTCTTGGTCCCCGCAGGCGATGGAGGCCTGTGAAGAGTATCAGTCATTATTGTTCACCCCTGGAGAAGTGGGTGCAGTCACTTCATCTTGATCCAGGCCTGGCCTCCAGCGAATGCACCTCCACCCACAACGGCTGTTTATAATACCACCAAGTCCTAATTCTTGCCCTTGGGCTTGCAGAGAGCAGTGTTGCCCGGGAGCTGGTGGCACAGCTGGTGTGGATTTAAGCCCGTGTTTTCTCCGTAAACGCGCACTTCCTGGAGGACAGAGGGTCTCGTGTGACACCGGCCTTCCTCGCACACACACAGGGCTCAGCCGGGGCGTCTGCGCTTGTAGAGGCCACACTCAAACAGAAGCCTTTCTCCAGGACCTGACGGACAGTGCAGGATCCGTGGCAAGGGCCACCGCTCGGGTCCTGTCCATCCACAAAGGTTCCCTGGGCTCGGCAGAGGGCTCCAACTTTGTAGCGAATTGGCAACCCCTTCCCTGAGCCACTTGGGACTCTTGTCCAGAAATACTCTTAGTCAAATATGTTTAGGTTTTTGTTGCAAAGCATGTGTCTTCCTCCTCCTCCTCCTCCTCCTCCCCTCCCCTCTGTTACAGTTGAATGGGTCAAAAATAGTCAGGTTGTTATGTGTGACCAGGACAGAACTGCCAGGCGTAAGCCAGTAGTTAGTAGTAAGCAGCTTCTCTAGTCTCCCACTGCCTGTCTCACTGGGGTCCTGATCTGCTGTGGTGAGTTCTGGGCCTTTCTTATTTCACATGCACCTCTCTTAGGACAGTGGAAGCGCGGGTGCCGTGAAAGTGGTGCTCATGGTTGAACGGAGGAAAGAGAGGGGCTCGCTCAGTTCTCTGTTCTAAGTGTACTGCCTCCCTTTCTTCATTTTCTTGCGATGGGGTCTAGCCGTGTTGGCTCAGACTGGCCCCACACTCCGGGGCCCAAGAAGTCCTCCTGGCTCAGCCTCCAAATAGCCAAGACTACAGGCGTGCATTACCACATCTGCTAAAACACTTGTGTCTTTTAAAAACTAAAAGTAGTCACTGTTCATTGTCCACAATTGGGAAAACAATACAAAAAGAATCTTCACAGTACTTTTTTTTTGCCATATTTATATAATTTGAGTTTGTATCCATTTTTAAAAAATTATAAAAGTGACACGCCAGTTGTGTTTATAGTAAAAAAATTCAGAAATACCGAGCTTCAGAGTGAAAACTGAAAATTCCTCTTTACTTTATCATAATTCTGTTTTCTTTCCATCATGATAACTACAATAAAACTACTAATGAAAGTAGAAGGCCTTCCCCAAATTTTCTTTTATTAACTCGTATATTCATGCACAAAGATATATAAGTAGGTGCATACGTACCTAATTTTAATTTTTAAATTTAAATTTTTCTGCAACTTGTTGTTTTCAACTAATAGTCTTAGAGATCTTGCTATACCAGGGCTATTCCACT